GTGTTACTCAGTGGTAGTCTGTGGTTAGCACACATCCCTGGGTTGGATCCTCAGCATCTGATCCCTAAATCTGATACAGTACATGAGAAAAAAAAAAAAAAACAAAAAAAAGACTGTTTCTATTTCTCCCAAACCCACAGAAGCACATACTGTATAAAATAACTACACCCAAAGTTGTATAAAATAACTACACCCAATAACTACACCCAGTGAGGCCACAAACATTCATTGGCCTTATGGAATACAGAGTATTAGTCCAGCCCAGGAGAAATCCCTCCCAGAGCCCTGGCAGCAGGTGGCAGAGCGTCACATATGAAATAACACTGTGACAGCAAATCTTGTATGCCCTCTCCACCCAGTGCTGTTATACAAGAATGTAACCCCTTAGAATCCAATGTGCTTCCTGTTAGTTTAGGAATGACAGTAGTGTTCTTAGCCTTTGTAGAAAATGGCAATTAAAATGAAAAGGTAAAGCAAACAAAATGACTTATTAAATCTGCTGGTATTGTGACAACAACAGAGAGAGACATCACTGTACATTGAACTTCAGGTATAAGGAAATAAGTGAAGGGTTCAAATGGAAGACATCCAGGCCTCCGACGCCTAGTTTTAAGAGTTCAGTAGGCTGGATGTACTTGTTTTTCTGCTTCCTTTTGTGGAAGTTCAAACCAGCTGACTCATACGTAAGAGTCAATCTCAAGTCTGACCTTAGAGAAGTGACAGCCAAAAGGCTTGCGGAGGCAGCCTGTGCATTTCCCCTTGGTGTGAGCACACAGTATAGGAACTAAGCTATGCAAAGTAAGTTGTCCCATTACTGCTCAGCTCAGGACTGAGATAAAGGTTACTTATGTACAGAATTAAACCCAGAAAAAAAGGAAATACTCAATTACTTAACAACTTCTATATCACTATTTCTAAATAAATCTGAATTAGATGGCAAAGAGGAGGGGGTCAAAAATGTATTTAGAAATAGCCTTTTAAAACTGGCATTCACCAAGACAGCTTCTTAGCAAGTTTAGGAAGACTTACCAATGGTAGGGTCGTGGTCTTCTGGAAACCGGTGGCTGATAAACTGCATGGTCATAGCTTCAAAACGAGAATGAAAGTTAAAACCCTTGCGAAAGTGACCCACAAAACAATGTCAACTATCGACATTGCACACTACCCAGTATCCCATCTAGCTTGCGTAGAGGTCGTTTTAAGTCTTGTCAAATGCCAAATGTCACCTACCACTCTTGCCCACGCCGCCGGCACCCAGCATCACCAGCTTGTATTCCCGGGACAGCCCCGAAGGATTGCTACAGCTGCCAACCCCGGGGCGGGCTCCGGAGTCCATCGTGCTCCAGGGGACCCTGGGCTGCCCCGCGGAAAAGGTACCTGGAAGGAAAGCAGAGCCTATTTAGCAGCGCTCCTGGCACACCCGCCTTCAGAGCCTGGCCTGCGCCTGTTGCTCACTGCGGAATGAACCCTAAAAAGCCCCACAACCTCATCCTCGGTCCCGTGACACATCACGGGGCTTCTGACTTTAAAAAAAAGAAATTTAGGACTACTTTTCAGTATATGACTGCAGCTCGCGAGGGGCTGGGAGAGAGCCGCGGTATTGCCGCTGCAGTCGTTGCGTCCCCCTGGCCGAGCTCCCGGACCCTAGAATCCGCGAGCCTCGCCCCGACGCCCCGCCCCGCCCCTGCTGCTGGAGCCCCTTCCCGCCAGCCAGTACCCCAGCCAGTACCCGGGTCGCATACACCCCGCTCCGCTGCCTCGGGACAGTGCCGCTGGCAGTGGCAGGCCAGCCGTGAGGTACAGGCGGGGCCGCTCAGTGTTCCTCGGTTTCCAGTACCCAAGACCGAGATCACTCCCGCCAGCCGAGCTGGGAAAGATGGCGCCACTGGCCGCGTCCCAGCGGGAGGGCCAGGCCTCCGTGAAGCCTGTGCCGCCCCACCCCCGGGGGGCGGGACGTCCCGTTTCCGGGTCCCCAGACCTAGTTCCGAGAAGCCAAGAAAGGTCTGCCTAGTAGTGTTCCTAATCTTACAAGCACTGAGGTGTCACAGGAAGATCGGGGCAGGGGAACGTAACATATGGACGGATAGGGGACTAAACCACTTTGTTCAAGCTCTGCAAAAACAGAGGAAATGGAGAAGGGGACAGCCTCTCACCACCCTTTCAAATTTCTCCCCAACACCAAAACACAGGACTGAAATCAAAGAGGAGACTGGCTCCAAGTAAGAAAGCGCCTATTCACAAAGGAGTCACACTTGGAAAAGCCAAGATTAGATCTGAGACTGGAAGCAAATGGTTATCCTGAGATCTGTAGGTATTCTAAATGCACATGAAAGAAAAATTTAGTTTGTGTGATGCAAGGAAAAATCCAGCGTGCCAAGTGGCCTTGAATTGAGAAGTATAATAACTGGCCAGACTTCTAGGCAGCACACACAGTACTAGAAGGAACTTTACACTGTAACGTTTTTTTTCTGATGCAACTTGCACTTCTTGGGGGGTGAGGGATGGGAACTGAACTTGATGCTGAGCTTGCCAGGCAAGTGCTGTGCTGCTGAGCTACATCCTTAGACCCACTGCTTTTCAATAACCTTTTCCTTTAAAGTGTTTCATTCACTGAAATAAAGGAGGGCAATGGTATGAAATGGAACCTATCTAGGAAAACAGAATTTTTCATCTGGGCTCTAAGCACATACTTTTTTTTTTTTCCAAACCAGGGATTGAACTCAGGCCCTTGCGTTTGCCAGGGAAGCGCTTATTCCACTGAGCCATCTCCCCAGCCCCTAAGCACATACTTTTTAAGTTATAAACTCTGAACTATATGCAAACTCAGTCTGTGTATATGGGGGGAGGGGCTATAACTGCATTATGCAGTGAGTAAAAAGGTTTTTTTGGTTGAGAAGGGTCTTGCTACGTAGTTGGGGCTGTCCCTGAACTATGCAGCCCAAACTGGTATTGAAAGAACTGTGATCCTCCTGCCCCAGCTTCCAGAGTGCTGGGTTGACACTGCATGTTTCATGATGCCCAGCTGTTTTAGTGTATGGATGGGTTGTGGAAGAAAAAGAACACAGAAACCACAAGCAGAATATTTATACATTTATTTATATTGAAATTATGGTCTAATTATTTACAACATATAGGAAACCAGAGGATTAAGTTTGTACAAAGCCAGCCTGCAAAATATTCAAATGTGCAAAAATGACAGTTCAGAATCTCAAACTATTCCTGTTTCAGCAGACTAGCTCCTTCACTTTCACACATCAATATTTGATACAAAAAAGTTCTTTTGGCAAAACCTGTAATGCCAAGAAAAAAGGACAAGTTGCAATTCAGTCAGTAAGTCCACCATCCTTCTGGATGTACTCAATCTCTTAGCTGCAACCAGTTCTAGGACAGACCACTGTATTTCACTTGTGAAGAGTTCTGACCAACTGTCAGTCAAGTAGTTTTCTGTCCCAGCTCAAGACATGGAGTTTAGAAGGGCAATGGCTGTCTAAACAAATGTGCCTGAAGGTGCCAGCTTTACATCATCCCAATAAAAAGACACAATAAAAATAATTTCATTTTCTTATTCAGGATCTATCTGTATCAACTATTTTTAAATTAGTAAAACAGCAATTGACTCCAAACTAAAATAGGGATGAGGATTTCTGAGAATTAAATATTGAAAGCAAAAGTCAACTTTAAAACTATTTCCCCACTAATAAGTAGTAAGGCTTTGTTTGTAACCAGTGAATATCAAAATTGACCCAACAGTAGTAAAATACAAATAAACCTTTCTTGAGGTGAGGACTGTGGCTGTTCATTTGGACAAGGCTGGACCTTTCAAAGGTACATGGGAATCATCCTACTGGGATGTGTCATCTGACAAGCACATTTCACCAACTGTTAGAAAAGCTGAGACAAATTTGTGATCCTAAGTAAATTTTAACAGAAGTTAATGTCACTGCAGAAATGTTGTAAAAAAGAATGGAATCCCTTTAATAAAAAGGGACACTGCATTTCTAACTTCTGCAAGGTCCATGATGGTCCCAGTACAGGCCCCAAGTCTTGTTAAATCAAACACATGCATTATTGCTAAGAAGTCTCCGAGGTCAAAACTCTGCTCCACTGCTTCCTACGGGGCCATCCAGAATGGCATCTGTTGCTTAGCTCTTGGTTGTGACGAAGGGTACTGATAGCCCAAACTCCAGCCCTGTGGAAAACTACTTGCATTTTTATGACCTCCATGTTCCTCCTCTTCATCAGATGAATCTGCAGCATAAGCCACTAAGCCAAATCCCTTCTCTGTAGTTTTCATCTTCTTGGCAGGATAATCTGGAATAGAAAAAACCCCAACCCCATTCCCCACCAAGGGAAAAAAAAAAAGATAATACCATAAATTCGTTAATTAAAAAAAAGATGTTAATTGTAAGTAGTTAGTTGGACACCATTTTGAGGTCACAGGGTCATGGTCACCCAAAAATGTTGACGATCACACGAAAAACAGCACCAGCATCAGCAAATGTGAATCCACCAGAACCATGTAAGAAAACAGAAAGAAAAGAGAAACACACACAAAAAAAAAAAAAGAGAAAAAAAGGGAAGTTAGCAAATGAGTCTCTAGAGGCTGACATTTCACCTTTTAGAGTTAAAAAGAAAAGAAGTTAAGAAAAGAAAAAATGTATTTTCTTCTGCATGTTTTTGTTACAACTATAGGCAAAGAACAAAACTGATCCCATGCACCACTATAGGATTTAGGGTTCTGGGATTTTGTATCAGCCTCCTACACGGTGATATGTGGCTCAGCTCCCAATACAAAGAAAAATCAATCTTTATTAATACTTTGTAGCAGATCACTTTCAGATATTCACACAACACTGGCAAAAGAATTTTGAAATGACCTACCAATTAATAGCATTTCCTAGGGTTTTAATGTCACTGATGCTATGTATAAAATCAACTGACTCTTCTAGACATAGTGGTTGAAAATAAAAGTCTGCGTAACTATATGCTGTCTCTATTTTTTTTTTTTTTTAAATATTCTCATTAGCTAGTAGTAGGTTATAGAGGCTGGATTAAATACCTGAATGCACATCAGGTTAGAAAATTAACAGACTAAGATCAGACCTACTCCCTATTCCCCCAGCTATACCTTACTCACCGTGACTCCCAGGTAAGGTCCCAGACCCATTCCTTTCATCGGTCTCTGTTTTTATTCCAGTCACTGGAAAGGCTGGTGGAGGCATCAACTGCCTGTGAAAAGAAATACTTCTCTCAGACAAACTAAAAATTTTCACTTCTCTAGTAGATAAGGGAAGTAGAATGTTTACAGATAATCCTTCGCTCACTTTCCCATTAACTTTTTTTTTTTTTTGGCGGAACCAGGGATTGAACTCAGGCCCTTGCGCTTGCCAGGTAAGCACTTATTCCAGTGAGCCATCTCCCTGGCCCCCCATTAACTCTTTATCTTCCTTTTGCCCTTCAAACCATTAAGTTTAATGTTATAAAACCTGTGTACATAGCAAACCCACACCAAAACAGAAATGAAGCATTGCAGGAAGAAGTCTGCTCCCTCCTAAAATAAAAGTATCTTCTAGGAAAGGAGACTTTATTATTTTTGTGGCTGACTCAGCCCACCCAGAGTACAGGGTTGGCTCAGCATGTGGTGCCAGGGATAGAACCACGGTTCTTGCGCTTTCCTAAGCAGGTGCTTTAGAGGATTGCGTTATTTCACTGGCCCCAGGAAAGCAGACTTTAAGCCCTGGATGTCCTCCCACTCAAATATCTCCACCCATAGCATTCTGCACTACTCCCAAAGCAGTAAAAATGCTTGTGCAACACTTCTATTATCAGCAACTCTTAGGAAAATGGCTGAGACGGTGACAGTAACAGTAGAGGTACCTTGCTTCACGAACTTAATATTTTCCATGCTTCTGGTCACAAACCAAATTGGATGAAGAGCAAATCAAATTCAATTGTTAGGTTCAATGAGGACCTAATGGGTAAATTTGATTTATTTCTTGCCCGACATCCAGAATTTAAGAAAGAATTAAGTTTATGAACAGAGGTACCACTGCAAATGCAGATGTCTGAAAAAGTGATTAGCTTCTAACAAAGTGAAAGCCTTATATTTTCCACCACTGCTTCAATTAAAGCAGGAGCTTATTTGATTCAAATGATGTTATATTAGTTTAGAACACTGAAGCACATAGCAATGATCAATACTCATACTAATGGTACAAACAAGTGAGATCTGAATGTATTCGTGTAATTGTTCCTACTGACTTACCTGTCCCTCTCTCGCTCTTTGCCTGAGGAACTTGCCGCCTTCGATCCTGCGCCTTCGATCTCATTCTGACTGGAGAAGCCTGTACCTAAATTAGTCATATGAATGGGTCCATGCTATGAGCAGAAAAATACAGTGGCATTAGCAAATCTACAACTGCTGTATTGACTTCAGCTCCTTAATGTAACTGTCAAGTGTCTCATCTTTCTGATAAATTGCAATAAATTCACCTGCATGACATACTCTGGGATTTGGCGGTTAGTCAAAATAGGGATTGTTCTGTAGGACTCAGGCATGCTGTATCATTATGCTATGCTTTCAACTGGCCATAACTCAACTGTTTTCTTTTTTCTTTTTGTGGAACCGGGGACTGAACTTAGGCCCTTCCACTTGCCAGGCAAGCACTTATTCTACCGAGCCATCTCCCCGGCCCCTCAACTGTTTTCTAAAAGCCTAGTTAGAACATTAAAAATGCTGTGACTTAATTCCCTAAGGGTGCTGGCATGATGTAAAGGTGTTTCTCCTCAAATTGCACCAAGCATTTGAGGTGTCAGAGACTGAATCCAGGGCCTCAAACATGCTATGCAAGGGATCTACTAGAAAGCTATTATCCCAGACCTTATTCTTTAGGCATGTTTTTCATAGGGCAGGGAGCTAGCAGGAAAGAGGTTCTCAAAAAATCACTTTCCCTTTAAAATAAAGGCTAAAGGAAATAGCAAATTGAAAGCCAAACTTTAAACTTCAGTCATGTATTAGACGGATAGCTTCCGGTAATACATGTAGAAAAGAAAATCAGAGGCTTTCTACTGTATCAATACAGGAAAACACAGAATTTTATATAAATTTTTCCAGATGTTAGTCAGGAGTCTGCAATCTAAATGGAACTTTGTGTTTTCTTATCACACTGATCCCAATAACAAAACCCACTCCAAAGAAACCGATTCCTCAAGAAAAAAATCTTAATCTAATTGGATTCCAGAAGGCAGAAATCTCAGTAACAGGATAGTTGATATAAGATGTAAATGTATCTTTCTTTAAAGGGAGAATATAGTAGGAGGGTAAGACAAGGAAAGGAAGACAGGGTATTTTATTTAACCTGATAGCCAAGAAGTCCAGACTCCCGTTCATCTGGCAGCTCCTCTGTGAATCGCCTCTTCTGTGCCTGTGGCTGAGATGGGAGCGGTGGCTGGGGCTGGGGCTGGGGCTGGGGCTGGGGCTGAGGGCCAGCAGGCAAGGCAGTTTTGACAGGAGCAGCAGGAATAAAAGGACCACTCATTGGACTCTGAGACCAAAACAAACCAAAGAGGAAAAGAAGTGTGAGGCTGTCCAAACTAAAGATTAACTAAATGATCAGCAAGTATTACAATGATCAATATGTATGTGTTTTTTATCTTCAGGGCCCTCATCTCCTTGCTGTACAATCTGGCAAAAATGTCACCTAGCCTTCCCACCTTCATCCTAGGGTAATAGTACAGTGACAATCTACAGATAGTTCATTGATTCCCAGGAAAAAAAGTTATGCACTTGACGTATTAAGAGTAAACATGAATATTAATAACTCCAGCCACTTACTTAGTCCTGAAGCCTCTTATTTAAAGTCCTCTTTCATCAATGTCATTGGCTCTTTCTGTATCATACACACACTGTTAGTGCTTGTAGCAGAGGCAACTTCATTTACTACTTCCATGGTTACTGAATCACCATATCATAAGTCTAATGTTTTTAAGAGGTTACTCCAAAAAGGCAACATGATTCAACACACAGCATATAGACAAAATTAATACATATCAAAGAATTATTAACAAACAGCTTTTTCTTTAGAGATGTGGTTTCAAGCAATCCCTTGATCTCAGCTTCCTAAGTGCTGGCATTACTGGCGTGCAACACCAAGCCCAGCATCAAGCATTTATTGACTGCTTGGATCCTCTTAATCAACATAATTCTTTGAGATTTTTATTATTATGCCCATTTTAAATCTAAGGAAATTCAAACTATAGGGCTGGCCAGATAGTTCAGCGGACTAAAGCACCTGCTTAGACAGCCACAGGGACTGGGGTTCCATCCCTGGCATGCCAACCCCACCCCTGGGAGACTGGGCATGCCTGTAATCCTAGCACTTGGGAGGCTGAAAACAGGAGGTTCAAATAACGAATCCAATCTGTGTAGTGAGACCCTGTAGACCTGTACTAAAATGCAAAAAACCAAACCAAAACAAACAAACAAACAAACAAACAAACAAAAAAACGGAAATTCAAACTATAAACAGGTCCTAATATCCTAAGGTCACACAGTTCAACAAAGGGAAAGCATGATGAACCCCTAATAATCTCAGTTTAACAATCAATTTAGGGCCGGGGAGACGGCTCAGTAGAATAAGTGCTTGCCTGGCAAGCACAAGGGTCTGAGTTCAATCCCTGGTTCCGGGAAAAAAAAAAAAAAAACAATCAACTTGCTGGGGCCGGGGAGATGGCTCAGTAGAATAAGCACTTGCTTGGCAAGCTCAAGGCCCTGAGTTCAATCTCCGGTTCCGCAAAAAAACCAATCAACCAGCTATACTACTTCCCAGTTGCAAAAGGCTATAACTCAAAGCTGAGCTACAGATTTTACTATAGTTGTTTCGGGGCTGGTGAGATGGCTCAGTGGTCTAAAGTACCTACTTAGAACAAGCTTGACAAAGCACAGGGACCACGGTTCGATCCCCCAGCACCACATGCCAGCCAGCCGCGACCCCTGGTGGGCTGAGCTGGCCACACACACACACACACACACACACACACACACACTCAATAAATGTTAAAAAAATAAAAAAAATAAATAAATATAGTTGTTTCTTTTATTGGGGGGTGGGGTGAGGGGGCTACCAAGGAAAGAACTCAGGACCTTTTACTTGCCAGGCAGGCGCTTATGCCAATGAGCTATCTCCCCAGCCCTACTAAATATAATTCTTTTTTTCTTTTTGTATTTAGGGAAGGGTCTACAGGGTTTTCAGGGTCTCACTACTAAATCGGACTCTTAGTGATCTGCCTGTTTACAGCCTCCAAAGAGCTGATAATTCTGACTAGGAACTACAAATAGAATTTAGTTAAAATGCCCTTTTGTGGTAGCAGCAGTTGAACCTAGGGCCTTTGCACTGAGTTCTATCTCCACTCCAGGCCTTCTTCCATTTTTTAGACAACTGCTAAACTGCCGAGTCTTGAATTTGTGGCCTTCATCCCTCTGTCTCCTAGGGTGCTGGGATTTCAGGGGTGCGCCAGCACAGCCACCCCATATGCTGTTGCAAACTGTGCAACCTTCTTCAGTGCTCACAGTCCACAAGAGGCTGGGCAATGGTTAGAGGCCACTTACTCTGGCATGGGTACACCATGAAAGGCCCACATAGACAGGCCCGCCATAAATCCATTACCATGCTCTCAAGGCTCCCTGCTATCTCCAAGAATATGTATATAACTGACACAGATGAGCCAGGCATCTATTCTTCTCTAAAATTGCAGTCTTACACAATTTTAAAAAGTATAAAGAAACCTATCAGCATTTGTAATCCTTAAGATTAGAAAGTTCATAAATCTTAGGCTAGGATTATCTATTTACATAGTTTGTAACTTCAAAACTGCCAACTCAGTTCCAACCACTGAGAGGTATGCTACAGACCGACCTCGCTTTCCCTGTGACTAAGTTAACATTGCAAAGCTAACAGCAGACAAATTATACCCAAGGTATGGCAAACAGGGGATTCTGAACTGCCACTCATGTATTATTTTAAATAAAGAACTAGTGGGTATAGCCATGCTCATTTGTTTAAGCTTTCTCTATGGCTGTTTTGTCGCTGCAACAGAATACAGTAGCTGCGTGATTCTATCTGATCCAAAAATATTAAAATATTAACAGGTGCCCTTAACAAAAAGTCTGAACATCTCTACTTCAGTTATTTGGTGCCGATTATTTTAAAAAGTAACTGTGGGGGCTGGGCAGATAGCTTGGAGGTCTAAACACCTGCATGGCAAGCCCAAGAACCTGGGTTCAATCCCTGGTATTGCATGCTGTTTCATGCCCAGAATGCCAGGCACTGTATGCTGACCCAGTGCCGAGTAGGCCGCTCACCAGAACTGGGCATGGCAGTGCATGCCTGTTATCCCAGCACTGGGGAGGCTGAGACAGGAGGATCATTACAAGTCCAAGCTGCATAGTGAGACTCTGTACCAAATAATTAAGATTTAAAAAAAAAAAAAAATTTTTTTTAAATGATTTTTTAAAAAAGTAACTGTGAACTTCAGGGCGATACATGAACATGCATACACTACAAAGTACTCAGGCAAGGGCTGGTAAGCTAGCTCAGCAAAGCAGGCACAGGGGACTGAGGTTCGATTCCCAGTACCACATGCCATGCTGGCCCTGCCTCTGGGCACACTGAGCTACATTATAAGACCCTGTGCCAAATATACAAACAAAAGCAAGCAAACAAAAAAGTACTCAGGCACTTGTGTGCTCACTGTGGGAGCACACAAGATATGACTTAAATCTGGAACAGCACTTGTCTCTAGTTTTCCCTAATTTCAATGGCAGCATGTTGTAGACTCTGGCATCTTACCTGTCCAGTGCTAACTGGAGGTTGTACTTGTGTTATCGGGTATTGTGTTGGCACAGGTGGAACTCCAGTAGGTAAAGCTGGCAAGACTCCAGGTGCCAATGAAACAGCTGGTGGCACTATGCTTGGTACTCCATAGGGAGGTTGAACTGGCTGCTGAGGAGGGGGAACAACAGGGTAACCAGACTGATAGCCATTGGATGGATAATATGGTGGTTGAGGAGGGACACTACTTATAGCAGAGGGTTGTGAATAGCCTGAGGGGGAAGAAAAAAAGTGTTTAATCAGCTGCAGCAAAATGAGACATTTTAGCTGAATATTAAACTTACTATCTAAGGAAGAAACACACTGAGGCACAAATGGCTTTCCAAATTAACCTAAGCTGAAGGGAATGTTACTGGTAACCTGGCACAGTCTAGTCTCACTTACATCTAACATCAATAGCAAAATATTCTTAAACACTTCAAGACATACATACCTGGTAAGGGTACAGCAGTATTAATTTGATTCACAAATCTAGAATATTCAGCATGAACCTGGGAGAAAGGGGAAAACAAATTAACACAAGATAGTGTCAAATGACTGCAATAGTCTGATCAGGGGTGGGGAAAGATTATAACTCACTTATGCTCCCTTCCTAGACAAACAAATTTTCATTGTTGTCCTGATCTAAATGTAAGACAAACCAAAAAACAAACCAAGTTTTGGAAATCAGGAATATGTACAATCCTAAGATCCTCATACTAGACTTAACTCTGGGGTTCAAAATCATTCAAAATGCCAGAGAAGTTTTGCAATTAGGAAATTTCTAAACTGCTAGTGCAACTAGTTAAAACTTGTTTGTATTTACTGGGTGCTATGTTCTTTAGTCAAGCATCTGACTAAATTTGTAACTTCAAGTACCAATAAACAAAATTATCAAGGAAATTATTTGATACAGGTGTTGGTAATCTGATAATATGCATAAAAGCATACACTTCTCAAAAAGATCATTTTTTAAAATTTATTTGCGTGTGTGTGTGTATGTGTGTGTGTGGGGGGCCAGCTCAGCCCACAGGGGGCGGGGCTAGCTGGCATGTGGTGCTGGAGGATTGAACCGTGGTCCCTTTGCTTTGCTAAGCTTGTTCTAAGTAGGTGCTTTAGACCACTGAGCCATCTCACCAGCCCAAAAAGATCATTTTAAATACCAAAGAACACAGTGTTCAACACAATTCAGCCTGAAACCTGATTTACTTTACTTAAGTGCTACCAAACAAGTCATAACTTTTTTCTGGTAGTATTGAGGATATAACTCAGAGCTTTTCTACTAAGTCACACCCCCACTCTACACTGTGTAGGTAGCGCAGGCTGACCTCAAACTCCCAGAGACCCTCTTGTCTCAGCCTCTTGAGTGCTGGGATTACTAGCATGGGTCACCATCCCCAGCTGGTAATTTACTAAATACTGTCACAGCTCTACCATATTCATTAGACTGACAACCCAAAGAATGCCACCACAGTCACCAGAAGATTTTCAAAGATTCCAAAAGGGGCTAGCTAGAAGTGAAGCTGTACTGTACACTTAGTAAATGTGAGGCTAAGTTCAATCCTCAGCACTAAAAAAAAATTCCAGGAGAACTAGTAATCTTGTCAGGGCCTTGGTATCAGACTCCTGTCTTCCTGAAGTGTCACAAAAAAAAAATCTGTTCTTTCAATCCAGCTAACTCATGACATAACTTTAGTATGGTAGTCCTAATAAACTAATACAGATAGACAAAACATACTCCAAAACATCACAGCAGCACTTATGAATGAGTACCAGACAAACATTAACTTGTTGGGGCTAAAAAGGGCATGTACCTCAGTCATAAATGCATGCTTAGCATGTGGAAAGCCCAGGGTTCAGGTCCCGGCATACACGCATACACACATACACACACACACACACACAAATACAACTCACTGTTTGCAAGAGATTCTCACAGAGCTTCTTGGCAGCAGCTAGGCCTTCTGATTTAGGATGACTAAAAAAAAAAAGAACCAGGAATTTAAATATGAGAAAAAATAAAGGATAAAGAATTCTCTATCGGGCCAGGGAGATAGCTCAGTAGAGTAAGTGCTTGCCTGGCAAACACAAGATACTGAGTTCAATCCCCGGTACCACAAAAAAAAAAATCCTCTATCAGGCCAGGGAGATAGTTCAGTGGCAGCACAAGGTCCCAAATACAAACCCTGGTACCACAAAAGATAAACGAATAAAAATCCTATATTCATATTTCTCGTGGGGCAGCTTTTTTTTTTTTTGTACTGGCAATTAGACCCAGGCTTTTTGTACTGAGCTACATCTTAAGCCTTTTCATATTTTTGAGACAAGGTCTTACTAAATTGTTAAATTACTTAAGCTGGGCTTGAGCTTTTAATTCTCCTGGCTCAGCTTCCCAGTGCTAGGATTACAGGCATACGCCCAGCCTTCATGCTGTTTTACATCTAGGCCTCTGGAAATCATAAAATAGGAACAGAAAGATCATATAAACTTTTTGGGCTGGCCAGATAGCTCAGTGGACTAATCAGCCTGCTTAGGCAGGTGCATGTGCCAACTGGGGAGCCAGGGTTTGATCCTGGGAGTGCCGTGCTACTGTCAGTGCCTGTAATCCCAGTACTTGGGAGGCTGAAAACAGAGGATCAATCACCGTGTAGTGAGACTCTGTACTCAATACATTAAAAAAAAAAAAAAAACAACAAACATATAAGCCTTTTAAGAGTAATAAGGAAAAAAAAAAAAAAAAGCTGGGCATGGTGGTGCATGCCTATAATCCCAGCACTCTGGAGGCCGAGGCAGAAGGATCACCAAAATTCAAAGCCAGCCCCAGGTACACAGTGAGTTCAAGATTAGCCTAAACTGTGTGAAGTCCTCACCACCCCCACAAAAAATATAATACCATATAATTACCACAAATATCTTATCTTGAGTGATATTTCTTGATATAAAAACATTTAAAGATCATAGAATACACTAATGTAAGTTTTAATGAAAACTATCTTAGGTTTTTCACAACTCATTTTATGATCACGAATTTGTATAAAACTTAATGACTTGAATACTAAAGAGATAACTACACTCCCAAATTCAGTTATTTATGTCAATTACTTATAAAGAGATTACTCCTAGTATTTAAACCTCTCATAGAGCCAGCCAAATAGCTCAGCAGATTAAAGCGCCTGCAATCAGGCACACAGTCCAGGTGTTCAATCCCTAGGCCTGCGATGCCAGTCTCACCCCCACCCCCTTGGGGCACTCTCAGATGGCAACTGAGACTGGGCATGGTGGTGCGCACCTGTAACCCCAGCTCTTGGGAGGCTGTAAACAGGTGGATCACTATGAGTCTGATCTAGTAATGAGACCCTGAACACCCATCCTGTAGACCCTTCCCTAAAATACAAAAACAAACAAACAAAAAACCCCACAAACCCTCATGTTGCTATTAAGTCTATTTACTCTTACTCTTTCTGAATCATTCTAATCTATACAGACTAACTAACGAAGACTTAAATGTTCTCTATCTCACCCATCCATACCTGATATAAATATACATAGGTTCAAAAGCTTCTCGGCCAGATGCTGGCTCAATGCAACCTGAACCTTTGCCCCGAAGGAAGACTTTAGCACCTGTCTCAATCTGAATGTGCTGCAAATAGGAGCATCCTGGACCTTCCACCTTCTCCTTGACATTAAATGTGGGCACAGCATGTTCTAGACCCACAAATAATTTATCTTGAACATAATGCATCTGTAAAAAAAAAAAGAACACCTCAAATATAACAAAATATTTAATGAAATGCTAATCTTA